GTGGATTTTTTGGTTTTCCTTAAAAAGAGAAACACGAGAATCACAACACATTGCCCGGAAAAAAAATAATAAAAGTGTCAAAGAAGAAGGAAAAAAAACTTAAGAGTAAACATACCAAAACCATATTTGCCTTGTTCAAGGTCCCAAATCGCTTGCATCTTCCTTTTTCTACCTCTCCTTTAGTTTGGCAGGTGAAACAAACAAACAACAAAAAAAAATAGATATATATAATCAAACCGCTGTTTTGCCCCCCAGAAAGATGTGCGTTGGGTAATTAAAGAGAAGTCTCCTTCTTGGTGTTTATCTAAGCGATTGTGCAAACTGATAAAAAAAAAAAAAAAAGTAAAGTTACAGCCTTCGAGGGGGGGCTTGGGGGGGGAAAGAAAAAGGAGGCAAGGTGAAGGGAATAGATTTCCCACAAGCTAAAGGGAAGTGCTTTCGATGTGTTATTAGCGATCAGCCCTGGGAGAGAGGGAGGAAAAAAAAAAAAAAAAAAAAAAAAACACCCTCACTCAACACACTCTAACTTTACACGGGCAGGATTTCGGGGGGAGTGGGGGGGTTGTACATAGCTGATGAGGAATGTGCGCCTCGCCTTTAAGAAAAAAGCCCCCAGCCCAAGGTAGGAGATGGCTCTTTGAGTGATCCTTGTCTCTCATTTCATTCCTTAGAAGGAAGAGTGTCTCGCTACACCTTGTTTGGAGCTGGGAAGGAGAGACTAGGAGGGGGGGAGGAAATACCACAACCCACCTTTCCAATTGGAAAGAGGAAAAAAATAATAATAAGGGAGGAAAAAGCTAATTTAATGACGGTAGGGGTAAGATGGATGTGACCCCCCCGCGCTCCTCTACTCTTTCCCCCTTTCCTCAGCAGGGAGAAAAAGGAAAAAAAAAAAAAAAAAAAAGCAAAAAGAGAAAACCACCAACCGCAAACAACTACAGGCTGAATATCAACACATGCACCGAAGGGGAAAAAATAAAATGTCCTGTGTAGGGTCGGCAGGGAACGCAGGAACCGCTGCGGCGGGTGGGGAAGGGATCCGAGCTAATGAGCGATCTCTTCCCTCTCCTTCTCTCCCTCTCTCTCCCCCTCTGTCTCGCTCTGCCCCCGAGATCCCGGCTAGGAAGAGGAACTCCACATTTTTCCATTACCAAAAAATCCGTTGCAATAATCATTTGTTGCTAATTGCAACCCTTGGAGAGATTTTTCCCCCACCCCCCTCTTCACCAACATGGCAACTTTTAGGCATGGCAAGCACGTTTATTTGTGGTTTCTTAGAGAGAATACACGGTGAGGAGGAGGCTCGATGTGTGACCAGGGGAAACACCAGCTCCTCGGCCCCTTCTCTCTGTGATGGGGGGCAAGGGGACCCCAGTGAGGGCTTGCGATAAAACGGGATGCGTTATCCCGCCTTTGGCAGGAGGATACACCCCAACAAACGGATTCCTGCTGCATTTGTGGTGCGTGTGACAGCGCAGGGGGCTCGCGATGCTGCTGGGGAGCCCTGTCTCTTATAGCGAGCAACGTGTCACCCTTGACAAATGGCACCGACCGGCCCCTCCATCCCTCGCTCGCCCTTGCCTTGMCGCAGGAATTAAGTTAGACCGCGGCGCTGCATGTTAATTGCGTGTTTACTGGGCTAATGAAAACTGCGATGGGGGCTTCGCCGCCCCGAGCCGGGCGGGCGGCGAGGGCGGCCCGGCCTGCGGGGAGGGCGGCCCGGCCGGGCCCCCCCGCCGCTATTGATCGGCCACGGGGATAAATCTTTTAACTGCTCGTTAAGACCATCAATGCGGGCTCCGCAAGTTCGCACTCCCGTGAAGCCTCGTTGGTACACGGGAGACGAGGCAGAGCCCGGCTGAAGGGATTTTATTCTTTTTTATGGTCGCCGGAGGGAGGATTGCAGCCTCCCTTAGTGACCCCCACACCTCAGCCCCGCTCCAAAATAGCCCCTAAACGAAGAGGGCGCCGGGAAGGTGCGCGAGACAAATGGGAGATTTTCTCTTCTCTCCCAAATACTCATTTTATTTTATTTATGAAAAGCTGGACAGGTCGTGGTGGTGGTGAGCAAAGCCTTGAGSAGATGAGCCCCCCACCCTGTTTATTCTTTAGATCAATGGGTGACAGGGTGCCCTAGTAATTCAGTTCCACCATAGTTTTCTGCGTGGAAACAACTACCACATTGCACGTAAATGGGAAGAGCAAAAGGAAAGATAGCAGGAAAGGGGCATTTCCAGACCCCCCCAGCTCAGAGAAAGGTATTAGCTGGAAAGAGGAGCAGCGAAATGCGCCTTAAACATGATTCTAAGCCAAACCCAGAACAACTCCGGGCAGAAGTGCCCGTGTCCCCCTCCTCCCGGGCTTGCACAGCCCCGCATTGGGAAACTTTGGCCCAACTTGCGGCGATAGCTACAACTTCGCTCCGCAGGGGTCAGAGGTGAGGGCTATTTTAACCCTAAAAGCCTGCGAGTGACCAGGGCTGCGCGGGGCTCGCCGCACTAATAGCCGTAATTACCCCTTCCCTCCCAGGGACATTCCTCTCTGCACAAATGTTAGGCGCCGAATTGAGGAAAATCCTGAAGTTGATCCTTTTTTTCTTTTTTTTTCTTTTTTCTTTTTTTTTTTTTTTGCAAGGGGGAATAGGGGGAACAGGGGAGATAACAGCAATATGAAGGAATTTCAGAGCTCTTTCCCTTTTGCTTAGGAGGATTGAAGCCCCCCTTTTTTTTTCCTCTCTCTCCTTTTTTTTTTCCCCCCTTGCCAGCATTCCCAAGGCGCTGGGTCTTTGTCTTAGAAGGAATGGAGTGTCTGAATGGTGTGAAAGGGACAGAGAGGGTCGCTTCAAATCGATTTTACTTGTCCTCTCTGTCTTTTCGGATCAACGCCCTTCAATGGACACATAGGTGCTCTTTCAACCAAAAACTTGTGCAACATTTTCTGCCTGTATTGGTGCTAAATACAATAAATGCTGGGCAGATTTTTCCCCCTTTCTTTCCAAAGCAGAAAGCACCCTAATTAAATTGTTTTATATGGACAGTCAAGACAGACCAATTAAGTATGCATTAGTATAAAGATATATTCGAGAGATAAGCGCTCCATAGGAGCCCTGTCGAGGCAAGGTGTGTAAAGTGTCCTCCGGAAGAGAGGTTGGAGCAGGTTTTCATATGGATTTTTCCTCTCCATTGCCTCCTATACTGGAGTAACGGGCTGAATAAGTTAGCGAAAAGCCATTAGGGAAAGTGSTTTCTAAACAAAGTTAACAGGTGGACTTAGCTGCCTATAGGTTTGTATAACGGCTGCGCATCTATAGCCCCGAGTCCCGCGCTCGCTGAGCGCGCAGCGCGCATCCCAAGGGGGAAACGCAGCAGCCCGTGGGCGAAAACGCACCCGGGGGATGCAGGGAAGAGCCGGGCACATTCGCAGGCTGCACAGAGCCGCTGCGCGCCCGCGCAGCCCGAGCGCAGCCCGGTGCCGCGCTCCGCAGCCGCGCAGCCCCGCGTGACGGAGCCGCCCCTGGCTCCAGGTGTTGTCCCAGGGGAAATTCCCTCTTGGAAGCAGGGGCTTTGCCGGGAGGGAGCTGAGGGCTCCGGGAAGGCAGCGCCCGCGCACGCCCCGCAACTGCCGCGCGCCGGGACGCGCTCGTGGGCGCAGTCGCGGCGCCGGGTTCCGCTCTTCTCCCGCTCCTTTTCTTTCTCCTACGGACTTTCTATATCGTTAAAAATAAAAGAAAACCACGAACAAACAAACAAGCAAACTGAAAAACAAAGGGCAAAAAAAAAAAAAAAAAAGAGAAAAAACCCTCAGTTCTGCCTCAGGCTGAGCCTGTTTCAGGCAGATCTCCAGGGTGTTCCGAGGGGCAGCAGCAGAAGTTGCTCGTAGCCCCAAGGTCCTGGGTACTTTCGTTCAGCCCCAGGGATGCTGCGAAGGGAGCCGCGAGAAAATCGTCCCTTTTAATGTGATTTTGCATCGCAGAGACAGGACGGAGCTTAACTCGAGGGGCCGGGGAAGAGGGGACCGAGGGGCGCCGGGCAGCAGAGCCACCGCCTSGCTGGATATTCATTTTTCTAGCTGTATTTTAGATCATCAGGGCGAGATGGGAAAGAGAGGAGAACAAACCTTTCCTCGCGTGGGTGGGTTAATGTCAAAGTAAATGGGTTAGAAACGGGCGTTTTAAAAGGCTCGATTTCTCTCTTTGCGGGTTACCTTCGAGGATAAATCCTAGCACTCTGTATGGGGGGCAAAGCATCCATCTAAAGGAGATCTCAGCAAGCCACTCCCGGACAATAGTCCACCTCCTGTTGGGTTGCGTATTGATCAGGAGAGGAGCTGAAGATGTCGCCACACTAAATATTTACTGATCACACACAAATAGCCGGGACTTGAACGATTTTCTCCTGCGAGGAGAGCAGAGAGAGAAGGGTAAATCATTTTATTAGTGTGTATAAAGCAAAGAGCACACTCTGGCTTGGAGTGTTTTAAGATGTGTCTTCAGCTGGATGAAAAGAGTTAGGGAAATCGATATGGAGTGATTAGACGAGCCAGTCGTGTCAAAGAGAGAGGCTGTGAATTTCATGGATTTGGTTATACCGGGAGGGGGAAAATCTACCGAAAGATTAAAGGGAGGAACCCATTGTAGCAGAGCCAATGAAAAAATAATATCTAATCAGAGCCGGCGAAGGTAGGGACGGGATCAGATCCACATTTCTAAAGAATCACATCAGCTAGAGGGGAATCAGGAGCGCACATGAAAGAGGCGAGCAGGGAGGAGAGCAGGCGAGGAGAGGGCTAGAAACGCTACGGAGGAGATACAGGAGAGGCAGGGGAAAATCTACCCTCCCTTGTAGAGCAATGCCCGAGACACTACGGAAAAATGGGGACAAAAGACAAGGGAGCGAGGGGAAGGAGCGGCCGTGGGCAGCGGCCGCCTGGCTTTGACACCAAGTTGAGGGGACTCCAGTGTCCAGCAGGCAGGGAGGGCTCCAGCGCCAGCAGCGAGGGCAGATGCTCCTCTGACGCGAGGCTTTCAAATGCTCCTCGTCCAAATTTGTTCTCCCCTCTCTTCCCCCCCACCGCCCCAACTCCCTCCCCAAGCAAATGTGGTGAGTAAAATGGATTTTAGCGTTTAACCGCTCATTTTATCCATGTAATGACAAGCCTCGTAATATGTAATCTACAGATTACTGCCGTTCGAGGGAGACCGCAAGTGGCACCAAAAAGCGGCGTTTCTGAAAATGACAAAATGGGCAAGTTCAGCCCGAGCTTAAAAGTATTTTGGGGTGCGTAGCTGTTGCTGGGGAGGGGCTCAGGTGTAAGAGGCTCCACGGAGGGTGCTGGGCAGAGGGAATAAAACTTCTCCCGAGACACTGAAACGTGCTAAACGTGCCAAAAGGCACMAGGAGCAGGACTAAAATAGCCTTTTTTAAAGGAAACTCGAGAATTTTTTTCCTTATTTATTTATTTTTGCCTCGAATCCCTGTTTTTTGGGCCATATCCAAATGCTACCTCTCTGCGGGTGTTTTCCTCCAGCACAAACGGGATGTGAGCGCAGAGAGCCGAGTCGCAGGCGAAAGTTTGAGCCGCCGTTTAAATGATGCTGCTCGCTGGGAGGGAGGGAAACTCGCTRAAACTGGGGACCGGAGAGGAAAATTGATGTGAAAAGAGCTTTTCACTTCTCCTCCGAGTGCTAATTTTGCTACTGTAAACAAACAGTGAAGTTAGAAACAGCTGCAAATAACCTGCCGCTCACTCAGGACAAGGGGATGGATGCAGGGGGAGAAAAACTAAGACTTTTGTTCATTTCGGGGGTGCATTTCATGCAAACTCCGCTTTCTGCCGGAATCGGGGGCTGCTGCTGTTGGGAGTTGTGCAGGGGGAAAATCCAGGCACATTAACTGCATTTCATGTCAGCCTGCAGAGTTCAGGCAGCTCTGCTGGATCACTAATGCAACAGGAAACCTCGGGATAGACACAGCCTAATTAACAGTTTTCCATAGCTGAAGCGATTTTTAAGAATCCCAGTGGATTAGACCAATATGTTCAGGTGTGAGGCTACGAGGGCCTATAACTCCTTTCACTATAATCTTATAACCTCCTTACCTAATTCCTTAGATTGCAGATAGGAAGAGTCTGACCCTGGAGGTCGTAAAGAGCTCGGTTTCATTAACCCTTCCCTCTCCAGCGCAGAGCCAGGGTTAACTTTGCTAATCTAAAGTGCGTGTGTGCTTGAGGGAGGCAGAAAAGGAGCCGCAATAGTGGGAGCTGCAACGGGGGTGCAGGTTGGAAATGATTTCTGCTCCCTCCTATTGCGCTCCCTCCCCTGCTGCAAAGGGAAAGGGAAATGAAAGGGAACTTTTCTTCCCCATACACTGAGAGGTGCCTAAATACATGGAAATCTGTGAGACATTTAATTCTCTTCACAATATATATATATTTAATCTTTTTTTTTTTTTTTTTCTTAAAAGTGGAGGAAATGAAACATTCTAGAAACGTCAGATATTGGGGGGAAAAAAAGCAGTCTCCATCTTTAGGACTATCAGAAATCTCTTTAGCTCTCATCCACAGTAGAGCTATAATCCTAACCAAAAAAAAAAAAAAAAAAAAA